TATGATAATCTAAGGATTTTCTTAACTATATTCCATTTACTGTAATTTGTCATCTCTCCACTCAAAAAGAGAGGGAGAAGAAGAATAGGAAGAAATGTAATCTTTGTACTTGATTGATTAACCATGGGAATTGCTAAAAATCATGACGTTTCTATGTACTATTAGATTAATGTACACCACCTTACACATCTTGTTTGAAATCTTACAAGTTTTCCCTATTTTAGCATTTTACAACAACGCCTTTAAGTCCCAAGCAAGTTGGGGTAGGCTACAGATGAAACCCAAGAGAACCAATGGTAAGGAAACACAAAAAGGGCCAAAACACAAGGAAGAGATTAGAGCGAAAGCGAGAGAAGCAAAAGTCATGGTTCTGGCACGTTGATTGCTAGCCTCCAAGCGCTCCTATCCACCGCTAAATCCTTGGAGATACTCCAATCTTTAAAGTCTCTCTTAACCGAATCTTCCCAAGTGAGTTTAGGCCGACCTCTACCTCTCTTTACATCATCGACCCGCTGTAGAACTCCCATACGCACTGGTGCATCAGGAGGCCTCCGTTGGACATGTCCGAACCACCTCAGCCGATGTTGAACCAATTTCTCCTCAATTGGAGCCACCCCGACCCTATCTCGAATATCCTCATTCCGGATTCTATCCCTTCTTGTGTGTCCGCAAAACCAACGCAACATACGCATCTCTGCTACACTTAGTTGTTGGACATGTTGCCTTTTAGTATGCCAACATTCAGCACCGTATAGCATCGCCGGGCGAATCGCCGTCCTATAAAACTTACCTTTTAACCTTTGTGGCATCCTCTTATCACATAGAACGCCCGAAGTTTGACGCCATTTCAACCAACCGACTGCAATTCTATGTCTAACATCTTCATCAATGCAGCCATCCTTTTGTAGCATCGATCCTAAATACCGGAAAGTCTCCTTCTTGGCCACCACTTGCCCGTCAAGGCTAACGTCACCATCATCATGTGTCACCATGCTGAAAGCGCACGTCATGTACTCGGTCTTCGTCCTACTAAGTCTGAAGCCTTTCGACTCTAACGTGTCCTTCCACAGCTCTAACTTCTTATTTACCCCTGCCCTACTCTCGTCAACTAGCACCACGTCATCAGCAAAGAGCATACACCAAGGGATATCACCTTGTATGTCCCTTGTGGCCTCATCCATCACCAAGGTAAATAAATAAGGGCTCAATGTTGACCCCTGGTGTAGTCCTATTTTAATTGGGAAGTCGTTGGTATCGCCCCACATGTTCGGACACACGTCATCGCATCCTTTTACATATCCTTGATGAGGGTAATGTACTTAGATGAGACTTTGTGCTTTTCTAAGGCCCACCACATGACAGTCCTCGGTACTCTGTCATAGGCATTCTCAAGGTCGATAAAGACCATGCGCAAGTCCTTCTTTTGGTCCCTATATCTCTCCATCAACTGCCGTATTAGGAAAATCGCCTCCATGGTCGACCTTCCAGGCATAAACCCAAATTGGTTTTGGGTCACACTCGTCACTCGTCGTAGGCGATGCTCGATAACCCTCTCCCAGAGCTTCATCGTATGGCTCATCAACTTAATCCCACGGTAGTTACTACAGCTTTGAACGTCTCCCTTGTTCTTGAAGATCGGTACTAAAGTACTTCTCCTCCATTCATCAGACATCTTGTTTGACCAAAAAATGAGGTTAAAAAGTTTAGTTAGCCATACTAACGCTCTGGTGCCCAAGCATTTCCACACCTCAATCGGGATACCGTCAGGGCCCATTGCTTTACCTCCCTTCATCCTCTTCATAGCCTCTCCGATCTCTGCCTCCCGCATTCTCCTCACCAAGCATCTATTGGTATCCTCAAATGAGTCATCCAACTCCAGGGTAGGATCCTCACTCTCCCCATTAAACAATTTTTCGAAGTACTCTCGCCATCCGTCCTTGATCTCCTCATCCTTCACCAGTGGCCGATCCGACCTTGATGCATTTGATTTGGTTGATGTCCCTTGTCTTCCTCTCCCGAATCCTAGCCGTCCTATAAATGTCCTTCTCTCCCTCCTTTATGCCTAGGCGCTGATAAAGGTCATCATAGGCTTGACCCTTTGCTACACTCACGGCACGCTTTGCAGCCCTCTCGCTATTTTATAGCTCTCAATGTTGGTTGCACTCTTGCCAAGGTGAAGACGCTTGAAACACTCCTTCTTCTCCTGAATAGCCCTTTGCACCTCGTCATTCCACCACCAAGTGTCTTTCGCTTCCTGCTTGCCTCCCCTACTCACACTAAGTACTTCTGCAGCCACCTTCCGTACACATGTTGCCATCTTTAGCCATATGTCGTCTGCATCTTCTCCTTCTTCCCAAGGCCCCTCGCCTAACATCCAATCCCTAAACGTCTGCGCCGTTTCCCCTTTAAGCTTCCACCGCTTCGTTCTCACGGTCTTGGCGCGTTTGTCTCGGTGGACACGTATTCGGAATCAAAAGTCCGCCACCACCAGCTTATGCTGGGAGACAACATATCTCCAGGTATCACCTTGCCATCTACGCAAGCGCGTCTATCCTCCCTCGTTGCAAGGATAAAGTCGATCTGACTTGAGTGTCGTCCACTATGAAAGGTCACTAGGTGAGATTCCCTCTTCCTAAAGAGGGTGTTCGCTATTTTAGCATTTTACTTTACAGCAAAACTTTCCGGCAGGCCCAAAAGGCTAGCTGATTATTTGAATCGGTAGCAACCCAACAATTGTATAACATAAATACAACAGGAGAAAATAGTTTCAGAATAGTCAAACAAAAGTAAACCTTAGTCCCAGGGCTAATATCATCAGGAATTGAAGGCACATGAGAGCTCTCTACAGAACTAATTTCTGAATGTCCATCCGTAAGCTTCAATTTCAACAAACGCCGGCCGCCCGAATTTCCTGAAGCATCAGCTACAGAACTCCGAGATATATCTCGACATGAGCAAACCTGCTCAATAAAAACAGAGCTACCTGATAAATGACCCCAATTTCTCAATAAATTAGAATCTCACAATAGCTATTTCGTCTCGTCATTGCAACTTCATGAATATGTTATCTGAACAGAAATGAACTTTTGAGTAAAATTTGTTCACTTTAGTCCCCATGGTGATACCCAGAGCGAGAATTCAAACAAAGTAACTTCATCAGCAATAAGCATCAGACAACGACACATAATTCATTCAGAGTTTAGCATACGAGCCATTATACCGCTATTAGGCGCTTTGTTCATAGGATAATCTGGGCTCATATAGATAGGGCATCAGAGAAAAGAGTACCTGAAGGACAATGGGGCCTTGAAGGTGAGAGATCTTGCGCAGAACAGAAGGCTCGGGCAAGCATTTTCCACCAATTGATCGCAAGTCAATATTGAGGAGCTCCGATTCAATAGAATCGGCGGTGCAGGTGGGTGACTGAGCGTCGATAAGCCCTCGAATTTGGTCCAAGTCTCTGAAACACCATCCTCGAGTGCCAAGAGCTTGCACCACCTGAGACTCGAACGAGGACGAAGAAGAAGAAGAAGAAGAAGGGGAGGCGCGTGAGGTGGCGCCGGCATCCATGTCCGGGGTCGTCTCCAACATCTTTTTGGGCGAGCGAAAAATAAAAGTAAGCCCCTAATTACAATATTGAATAATATATTTTTAATATTTTATGAATAATAACTTCCATTTCTCAAGTAGGAAAGAACCTCTCCCGGATAAACAAAACACAAAAAGCTCTTTCTATATATTATTATATTTTTATTTATATTATTATATATATAATATTTTAATATTTATATATGGGGCCCCAATTAATTGGAGACCCTGTACAGTTGCTCACCCTGCTCCCCCCAAAAGCTGGCTCTGTCCATGTCGATCACCCGCCGTCAACCGTGAAATTGCAATTTGGTGAATTCGGCGGCGATATGATTTTACCGCACCGTGAGTTCGTGAGGTTGTTGACGGTACTCATGTGTTTTAAGAAATACCGCACCATTTTTTTATTTTTTATTTTTTTCAAACGATATAATTATGTTAATGAACATATAACTTACAATTCAATATTTATACCTATTTATCTATACATATAAAAGACTAAAATGTACTAAATATAATAATAAATAATATTAGAACATTTAATGCATATATTCTTTGATAACATTTTAATGTATGTATTGATTGATTGCATGTACACATTTTTAAATTAAATTAAATCAGATATGATCAAACAACCGCAAACAACCATATAATAAAAGAATTCTAAAAAGAAAACAAATTAAGGGAGGCTATAACTAAGACACAGCTAGACTACAAACGAAAATCGAAAAACAAAAAAACACATGAGACAACCACAGTACACATCTAAACAATACAATAAAGTCCTCCTCACAACCGTCTAACACCACTCACCCTCTTATATTTTTGGACACTCATCCATGAAAAAGCTCATACATTTGCATAACTCATAAGCACAAACCAAAATATTTTAGGAAGCTCATCATAAAAATGAAGAAAAGGCATACACATGAAATTATCAAATTTTAAAACCTTATTTTATTGTAACAACTAACCAACTCTGACGAAGAATCAAAACTCAAACTCAAATCTAAAAATAAAAATGAAATTGAAAGATCGATGAAGATTTTCACCGCACGGCAATGTTAGTCTTATTCGACTGTCGGAAAAAGATCTTCGCATCGGCTCCACCTATGACAAGAAAGACTGGATAACATGTCGGAGAAGAAGCGAAAGAGAGAGTGTAGCGACAAAGAGAGTGTCGTGTTCGATCTCTAGAAAAAACAAAGAGAAAAAAATTTGCTCACACAATTTACTTTCTTTTTAATTTTGAAAATTAAGATTTAAAATTTATTTTCATGTTATATTCCATCTTCCAACTTTAATTTAAAATCACTTACAATTAGAATAATTTACTTTCTTTTGATTCAACACCAATTAATTAGGCATAAATATCTAAGGAATTGGGTCAAAGATAAACAACTCAAAAACCGTTTTTATCCATTCATCAACACATAATTCTGATTCTAACTAATTATCCTCTCACCCAAAAACTCCAATGGCGGTGCCTCGGATTCTCTCTCTCCTCCTCCTATGCCTCTCGCTCCTCGTCCTCTCGGCCTCCGCCGACAGCGGCAGCGCCCACGGTGAATTAACGAAGTACGGCTTCCCGATCGGCCTTCTCCCCGCTAACGTCGAGTCGTACACCCTCAACCGCACCTCCGGCCTGTTCACCGTCACCCTGGGAGATGTGTGCAAGGTGACTCTGCCTCCCGACAACTACCTGGCGACCTATTCCCACAGGATTACGGGCAAGATAGTCGAGAATCGGATTGCCGAGCTCGACGGCATCAGCGTTAGGGCGTTCTTCAGGTGGTGGGGCATCACCGGCATCAGGTCCAGCGGGAAGGATTTGGTCTTCGAGGTCGGCGTCGTCACTGCTAAGTATCCGTCCAAGAATTTCGATGTGGCCCCACTTTGCGAGGGCGGTCGGGCTTCTTCGTAGAGGTCCGTACTTTCTTTTCCCCATTCTCTAACGCAGCGGCATTTTTATAATATACTGAATCTCGAGAGCTGTTTATGAACTTGTGGAAGCTTATTAGTTGTTTGATTTATGTGTATTTTATGTGCTGTTGAGTGAAGATTATCTCTACAGCCTGGTAGAGCTTGTACTCAGGCCTTGTGTTTATAGTTGCAACGTGTTTGAGCTAATAGGTGTAAAGCTGGGTGAAATGTGTTTTGAGATGTTGTGAACTCTTACAACTTTCACATTGGGTTAAATGCAAGATTTTCATCAATGAGCGTGACTATTAAAGGCTATACCCTTATCTCTGCTGGGGTGATGCGGCAAAAATAAAGTAGCGATGTACCTTACAAATCCAAAAGATTGAAAAATATGGGGATCTTGAAGACTTTGCAATGAATATTTTCAAGGAGTTTAAGTAATAAATGTGTTTTGGCTTATTCCCATACCCTGAATTTACAGATGTAAGTACAGAATAACTGCATGCCGAAATTTATCATGTTATCTATGAGCCGTCTCTGGATCATTTAAATAATTTTGACACGAGTAATGTATACTTTTAAGTAAAGCATTCCTTTTAGAAAATTCTTACATTTTGGGTCTTTATTTACTATTCTATGTCCCCCCTTTTATGTTTGAGCTTTGAATAATTGTTACTGTCTAATTATCATAGTTATTAATGGTGATATCATGTCCAAAGCAACAATTGTGATTTGAAATCGCATCGCCACAGCCTAGGGAGACCTATTTTTCCAAGTGGCGCCCTTGGGTGCATTGCGGACTTGCGGTAACTTCCCCATTGTCTCAAATGCATATGTCGTTGAGGCGTTTTACTATTAAAATCTACCTTTCCAATCAAAAGCACATGACAGTGTAGAATAGAAAATTAGGGTTTAGGATTCAAGGCAAATACCAAAGTTACTCGACAATTATGTCATCCTTTGCAAATGAAGGTAACAACGGTCTGCGGTGATAGTTTTTATTCATTTGTTTATCAATTGTAGCCTCATATTCATGAGGCAGTGCCATGACCTCTCCCCACACTTCAAGTCGAGGCCATGAGCAGATTGTCACGGCTCACCGTTCCCCATGAGTAACTATGCTTGATTATTACAACTGACTTTGAAACACAAAACATTTATTTGTTGCCTTCTAATATATTTAATATCCTTGTTTATTCTTTCCGAAAATGTAGTTCAAAGTCTTGATTAGACAATATTTAAATCCTCTATAAAATGAAAAAAAAAAATCTCCAGAATTAGGAAGCTAAGCTAATATCAGTAAGTAAGAAACGTGTGTTTTAATAACGGCAATGTGGATGATCAAGTTGAATGTTTGTATCTGGGATTTATATTCAGTTTGATTTAAGAAGAGTGGAGATAGTAGATTGGTTTCCATTTGTTAGACCACTTCTAATGTGATCAAGATTTTACAATGGATTGTTTTCTCTAGTGAAAATGGTAGCTGAGCTTGCACGAGGTCTTAACCATCTTCCTAGGCAATTATCAGTGATTCAGTGTAATTGAGTTCGCATGTAGTAAATTTTGAAAATGGTTTTCCTTCAAGATGCATCTATAATGGAGCTGTGCCTATACCTACAAGTCTTTACTCGATAGTTTCTTAACTCATCATGTAATAAGATGATAAGGCACAAACGTGTTCCCTTTGCTTAGTAGATCCAATTTGCTCTTCAGATTGCTTCCTTTTGCTTAGAATAGGTTTGTAGATTCTCCCAATATATCTCTTGCTGTGGGAAGGACAAATTGGGTTTTCACTAGTCTGTGGCTCAGTGGAATTCCATAATTGTCATGATTATTAGGTTTTCATTATTTCCAGGCTTGAATCTTCGGTGCTGGGGCCTTTATCAACCAGATGATCTATCTTAACTCACACATGTTTTTTCCTTAAAAAACTGCTGATGGAGACCAGTTGACTCCAGTACTCAACCTTACAGTGTTTGATCTGTAGAAATGATGTGGAGTATTGAGAAAACCATTTTATATATCTTTGAACATGAATTTTTGGTGGAGTCAAATATTCCCATCTTGGTGGCCAGTTGATATTGGTAGAAAAAAAGAAAAAGATATAATAATGAAGGAATTTATGGAAGGTGTTGCACAGAGAGTAGAACAGTGGGTATTACAGATGGAAAGTAGAAGTGAAGATTTTCTCGGAAAGAGTTTAAAATAGTGACATCATCTAAGTCCTCATAGTAGTAGAGAAACCACTAGGATTGAGCACTAGGATTGAGGCACAAGCATCATGGAGAAACCGAGCTGTAAAGTTAAGGAACTTGTCAACTAACTAGTGAAGAGAATTTGCCTAATCAGGATGCACTATAATCTAATCAAACCACTAATCATATTCCTGATATTTAAGCACACAATTAAACTAATAATAATGAATAATATTATTATCCTCTCTAATCATCACTCTTCTATTTGAAGTATCCATACCATTTGCTTTATGATAAACTAGTGCGTGGCCCGTGCAAAATAATATTACGATTGTATTATAAATTAAATATATAAATAATATTAATCATAATTTATCCATTGTTTTTAAATTAAACCGGGTTGCACACAGTCCGACCGGATGGATCAGGAACCGGTTTATAACCATTTAAATTAAACCGGGTTGCGTTCAATATGTTTTTTTAACGGCAGAAATATAAAAATCGAGATTCTAAAACTTTTGTTATATTTTGAATTGAGATTTTATAAATATAGAGACCGAGATTTTAATGTTGTTCGTTGTTTCTAAGAAAAAAAATAAAAATAAAAACATACACATTTAATAAATCTTAACCGAATTTTTTAAATAATTAAATAAACTAAAACTCGAAATTTAAGGTAACATTTAATGTTGTATGATTTTTAAAGAAAAAAATAAGAAAAGTAATAAAACTTACTATATATAGGTTGCATTAAATTCTGACTTATTTTTTTACTACTATTTTTAGTAAATGTTAATTCTTATTATATATATATAGATTAGCGATAGTGTCTTTCGAAATCACAAAATAACACCTAAGAATATACAGAGATCTTGATGTCATTGGTCTGAAAATAATTTATATAGTGGTGCATTTTGAGGAGTTGGGGCCTGTTTGTTTTTATTTTCTTGGCAATTGTGCTTCTCTCCTATTCTTTCAAAATTCCTTGAGACATTAGCAGTTATATTACCTAAGAGGCCTTTTAGTATCTCCCATATATGATCCATTCAGGCACCAATAGAGAAACCTTGAACCTGTCTAGTAGCTTACACCCCCCGCCTACTGGGGAAAAATCTACCTTAGCTCTTGTTTAAATTTTTTCAAAACCATGTTTGAGGCTTATATTTTGTTAGCGAATGATTCCCTAATGTTGGTGTTATTTTTGAATTGAAAAGAAGTATCGATGGGCATTTGAAATTCTGAAAGATATCCGATCATTTATTTGTTTAGTTTTTTCCCTTTTTTAGGTGAAATCAGAAGATAAAATACAAGGGTGTTTTTTGTAGGCAACTCAATAGTCATGTTCATGCATTTCAAAGAATTTAACTATATGTTTTGTCTGAGTTGTGTTCTCTTTGAAGACCTATTTTATACTAGTACAGAAAATCTTGGTGCCCATTTTAGTAGGTGACCAGCTATAAAGCAATATCTATTGCTGTGGTTGGTTTATTTAGTTGTGACCATGAAGTTGCTGAGCAGTTGTTTATTGGGTCTGCTTCCTCATGCTTTTGTAGATCAAGTTATTGTAAAATTAATCTGATAACTTGGATTTTCTATTGCATTGATCAATAAATATTTTTGTCGGTTGTTCTAAGTGACATTTTTGTTGTGTAGGCAGGAAGAGGTTTGATGCTGTTTGTGGGAACTAGTCTGACAGTTACGGATGGTTGTTGGATTATAATATGTAACGTATGTGTAATAAGCTAGTCGCACTTGGAGCTGTAATGTTAATACAATGAAGTTGCAGTGTTTTACGTTTAAAACACTCTGTTATTCTGTATTTGTCAGAACCTTAAACTGGTTTATGGAACTTAAGGTTCTAGGTCAGTTTTGTAACGCGCACACATTTGATTTAAATAAGTTTCTGTAAGACAAATTCTATGCGAAAACTTTTATTTAAATAAGTTTTCGCAACCCAAATTTTAAGTGAAAAAGTAATTTTCTTTGTTAAATTCCATTGATTAAAACCGTGTTGCATGTATTATTTTCTTCTTTGACTTGGATTTCGATATTCGAAGATGGATTCGCCGTTTAGATTTCATTTGGGTTGAAGTTTGAACTTAACTAACTTTATATTGTGAGTTTAATGACTTGTTCCCGAATTAATCGATAGGGTTTAGATTAATTGTTGAGGTTTATTGATGTGTTTGAATAGTGTTGGCTCGAGGGCTTGAAAACTTTTATGGTATCACTTACTATGCTGAAAGCTTTTATCGTATCATTTGCTATGTTGTTTCAGCTCCACTACGAAAGAAATTTTAGTGTCGCCTTAAACATTGTTGGTCCTCTTGAATTTTACTTTATATGAGTGGATCGCCGTCTTTATTTTTCTTGGAGAGAAACTGTCGCCTCATTTTCTTCTTCATGGCAACATTTACTTTAAATTTCACTGCTTTTATTATGATGAGTTACATTATAGATTATTTTTTTATTAACTTAAAAAAATAATACTTTTTTTTTCTTCTTTTCTTTTTATTTGTGATTCGTAAAAAATTTCTCAAAATTATTTATAAATTTTAGCTATATTTTTATTTTAAATTTTACTCTTTTATTATGGCGAGTTACATTATGTATTTTTTTATTAACTAAGAAAAATAAAAACAACTAAAAGCATCATTTAGCATTTTTTTGCCCAGGGCCTATACAGTTCAGGACCGACTCTAATAATAATAATAATAATAATAATAATAATAATAATAATAATAATAATAATAATAATAATAATAATAATCACTTTCAACATAATTCAATGGAGCCAGAAGTGGGTGGCCTTGATGGAGTCATTCATAATTTGGTATTATTCAAAGTGTATTTATTGTAGAACGCGTGTCAGTTATAATATTCATTCTTTTGATTACTTTTCCATCCGATAATTTTACACCTCAATAAGAATACTCTCTGATAAGTGTTGACAAAAAGCTTCAAAGTTTGTATCTCTAAATTTATTTAGATTTTTCATGGATACACTTACTCCAGATAGTTAAACCTTGAAAATAAAAAGCTCATGTGGCCCACATGTGCATTAGACATCAAATGACCTTATTCAGGAATGGATGCATAAGAAAAATGCGTTGATGATCACATGGACTACCTGGACATGTTGTACTAAACCAACCCACATGAATTGAACTAATAAATAAATAAACTGACGGGAAATTTTTATACATACTATATGAAATAAAAGATATTTCAATTTTACCATCCAGTATCAAATATTTTGGTGTATACTTAATGTACAAAAAATAATTATGTGATTGCCTAAATATCTGTAACCCTTTGTAACGTCCACCATTCCATATATTCTGTGCGTGATTTCCGCAACGTGACCAGGAAAATAAAAAAAAAAAAAAAA